AGCTGTGTCCACAGGAAGTAGTCACCGGATCCTTCAGTAGATCCAGACAGATGGAACAAGAGAAACTTTCTCTGTCCAGCTGAACTCCTTTCTGCGCCATTTCACCTCTCAGCGTCTGTGGAAGTTTCACTTCCTGATAAATGAAACCAGTCTGAAACCAGTCTGAGCTCAGATCGACACGTCATGTGTTTGTGCAGAGAATGAGGCGTGTCAGCACCTCCTCTGATCATTAAACTGTAGATCTGATGGGGCGGAACAAGAAACTCCGTGAACAGAGTGACACTGCTGTTTGAGAGGAGGAGGAGGAGCAGGAAGAGGAGTCACAGCAGAAACTGCAAGGTGGAGAACAAAACAACTTTTCTTTCATCTTCATAAATTAATTACTTTCATATCACCTATAATGAACTAAATGATTTAGTACTCTAAAACTTATTGAATTGTTGTATTCTGATCATTTCAACATGTTTTTTTTTTTCATTAGATTTTTTTAACGAACCCATTGGTGTATATGTTCATGGTGTGGTAAACACTGCCCTCTGGTGGTGGAAATTATTTCTGTTTCTGCAGGAAAAGCTAAATAAAACTCGCAATCCATCCATTATCTTTCCCCGCTTATTCCATTTTGGGTCACGGGGGTCACTGGTGCCCATGTCCAGCAATCACTGTGCGAGGGGCGGGGGACACCCTGGACAGGTCGCAAGTCCATCACAGGGACACATAGAGACAAACGAGACAAACAACCATTCACTGTCACTCACACCTAGGGACAATTTAGAGTTACCAATCAGTCTAACATGCATGTTTTTGGTTTATGGGAGGAAACCGGAGCCTCCGGAGAAAACCCACGCATGCACGGAGAGAACATGCAAACTCCACCCAGAAAGGACCGGGACCTGGACCTGGACCGGGGTTTGAACCAGGGACCTGCTCGCTGAGAGGCAGCAGCTCCACCAGTTGCGTCACCGTGCTGCCGAATACAACTCGCATCTTTTTAAATTTATTTTTTATAGTTCTTACTTTCATATGCTTTATGCTCATCAATAACACAATGCCTCCTAAATAAAAATATTCCATGCTATAAACTTGAGGCATTTCGTCCTTGTGCATTAGACCATCTTGTTTTTTTTTTTTAATTCTTGAACATGTTCAGGTTTAGTTTAGTTTTCAGTCACAGATGTAAATTAAAATGTAACTAATCATAAAACATGAGACG